GGTGGACACATCATTGGGAGAATAAGTGCTCTGAACACAAGAGGAAGAAAAAAAAGCTACAACAACAGACCTGAAGTCAAATTAAAATCTCATAACAATGAGGAGAGGAGGAGTCATGAGGAAAAGAAGGGGAGGAGAAAACATAACCGAGGAAAGGATGAAAGGAAACTGAAGTGCAACAAGTGTCTGTCACAGTCCGGCATCGTTGTACGTGGGTTTGACCACCTTCAGGATGCTCTGTGCGTTCTCCTCCACCAGGGGGCGCCACTTCACCTCTCCTGTGAGCAGCAGGTCGTCCCCGTCCAGCGCGTCGATGTACTGCATCTGCACACAGCAGCACGTCCACATTTACTGCGTCATAAACTTCTAAGGAAACACATCAGGTACAATTTCCAGGTTCCATCAACATTTTGAACTACTCGCACGTCCATCAATCCTCTGCTGCTTCTCTGGAGTTGAGTGTCAGGGCTGCAGCCTAAGCAGAGAGGCCCAGACCTCCCTCACCCTTCCCTCCTCCAGTTCATCCGGGGAACACCGAGCTGTTCCCAGACCAGCTGAGAGAGTCTCCATCCTACCCCGGGAGCCTCTGGGTAGGACATCTTCACTCAGGAAGAAACATCCCGAGTCCTTCCTGATTGATGAGACTCCTCACCCGCTGTGTAACGCTGAGCCTAGCCATCTTTCCGAGAATACTCAGTTTAACCGCTTATTACCGCAAACTCGTGTTTTGGGTCATTACCCAGAGCTCACGCCCATCGCTCAGGGTAATGACGTAGATGGACGGTAAATAATCAGCTTTAGCGCTGCTGAAGAACTCTCCTAATAAGCCCCGAGCTCTCAGTGCAGACGTGGAAAACCAACTAATTCTGTCGGGCAAGCAGCTCACTGTGGGAGAGCTCTCTGCATGGAGACGTGCACATAAACCAGTGAGGGTTAAACCCAATTTGCTCATCAGCAGAAGACTCTGGATTCCTGTGGTTACGAAAACAGATGGAGTCAAGCCTGGAGAACGTTGGCTCGAAGCATGTGCCGAGGTCTTATCAGGACATCACACAATTCAAATGCAACAAAGTGAGTGTGTTAGGAAGACAAAAGCTCACCTGTTTGCGGACGTACTCCACCATGAGCTCCAGCTGTCTGGGGTCTTCACACTGACGGTTGAACAGGTTTCTCCACAGAGCCGCTGCCAGCACAGTGTCATCGGACAGGATTCCCTGCAGGCACCAACACACGTGTTCACATGCATGAAGCTTCTTCTAACCTGATATCTGCAGTTGATGTTTGCTGACATGTCCCAGCTGTGTGATCCAATCAGGATCCAGACTTTGGACCGGAGTTAAAATTGAGTGAGTCTGCAGTGCATCTAAGATGAACTCTTAAAGGAAACAGATTTCCAGTCGCCTTTAAGCCGAGTTTGAATCTCGGCTGTAAAACAGCAAGTTTAAAATTCCTTGTCTTACCTCATCGTATCCAAATATCGCTGCATAGAAGGTTTCGGTCATCGCTTTCATCGCTTCCTTTCTGTGGATGGCATCAATCTGCATCATTAAACAGAAGAAGACCAATCAGAGTGAAGCACAGCAGAGATCGAGAATATACAAGATTTGTACATTTGCAGGCAGAAACGTCTGGGCTGGAAAAATGAAGCCAAGGCTGAAGTGCAAAAACGTGCAGTTCCTCTAACGTCCAGCAGAGGCTCCAGCAGGGAGTCAGCCGCCATAGACTCGCGTGTTAAAACTTTACAGCAGAAATAAACATGTTTACAGTCTGACACACAAACTGTTTGGCCTCTGTGGATAATTCTTCCTTCATACCTGCAGAGGCGGTTAAATTGCAATAAGACAATAAGTTTGAATATTAGGGGGCATGGCCTCTTTTTGACTGACAGGTGGATGGCGACACAGGCGGCTGTAGCTGCTAGCTGTCTGCTCTGTGGACTGTTTGTGCTGTCAGAGCCTTTTGGGGCATTTTTAATGACATTATCTGACCAATAATATGGCTGCTGTCAGGTTAACTCTATGGGGACGCTGAATGTCCAGTCCCAGGTTTGTACAAACACTTCCAATAATTTTGGAGAAGTCAATATTGAAAGAAAAAAAAATTAAATAAAGTACAGGTTCATCATTTGATTGATCAAAGACGTTTTGATAACTAAGTAAAAACAAAAACATTCTGATTCCCAATTCTTTTTCTACATTTAATATTCATATACACATGATACTTTTCACCATTTTTAATAGAAAAATAAATAAATAAATAAAAAAAATCCACACATTGACCAGTAAAATCAAAAAACGCTCCCTGTGCTGTTTATTTGTTCTGCTGGACGACTGAAGCTCTCGGGCCGCAGGTGAATCACACGGATCATACTGTAGGGTCTGTGCGAAGTTTTGCACCAAC